GGTGTGTGTGTGTGTGTGTGTGTGTGTGTGTGTGTGTGTGTGTGTAAAACATGTATATGTGTCGCATAGAGAAGACTAGTAGATAGTAGATAGTTTGAAGCTGTGACTAGTTCCGAAGTATTAGGAGCGAATAAGGCAAGAGAGAAGCTCCACTGCACTGCACGTGTTCGCATACTCGCGTGCATGTTCGTTTGCACGTGTATATGCATATGCACATATGCAACCGAATCGATTAGTTCTTTGGGAAAGTGCATAGCGCAATGCATCATAGGTAATAACGTAATTGAAACTGAATAAAAGTCCAGCTAGCGCGATCGAGTTATAAATCATAATAAATGATGATATAAAATTTATACTTATTATCTCTCCTATAATTTTCCGGAAATTTTTATATTTCGGTTGGCAGTTTCTTTCCACTCTCAAATGAATATCCTATTTTTAGCTAAATCATAAATCAAAATTATTATAAAAATTTGAATATTATTCGATTTTGAATGAACGTATATATTTGATGTTTGTCATTATTATCATTTTATCTATCAGGTTGATAAAATTTAAAAATTATTATTTATTTAATAATACGTATATATACATCCATAAATTATATTTAAAAATATAATTTATTTATTTAATTATTTATTTTAATTATCTCATTAGAGTTGAATTATCATTCCTTCCAGCGTCGAATGCATATCTAACGAGATGCAAGTTCTACAAAAATAAATAAGAAAGAAAATGTTGCGACCGTACTAAATTCCTATATATATTTCTCTCGCAGGTCAACCAGATTATACGAGATTTATAGAGAGAAGAGAAGTAAAAAATAATTGAGAAAAGCCGTATTGGGCAGGTAAGACAAGATGATTTCCTGGCTAGTTCATGCGAATTGCAAGGAAAACTATGAATGGACGCCAGTGCGGTGTCGTGTATTATCTTGCCTCCTTGTCTCTTTATTATTATTCCTTCGGACTTCCTCGTCGTTCCGTTTCATCTCTTGCCTGCTTATTTCTTTCTTCTTCGCTCTCTCTCTCTCTCTCTCTCTCTCTCTCTCTCTCTCTCTCTCTCTCTCTCTCTCTCTCTCTCTTCCTCTGCTCCTTCTCTCAGTGTTCTCTTTTCTTTGCCGGTCTCAGATAGTCAACCGGCTTGGCTCCGGCCTCTTCATCTTGTTGCGACGGGTTGTCTCGCTTGTACGCAGGAGATCAGGTTCGCCGCACCGGTGACAGGAGATCGTGCGCAACCTGTTCTTCGTATCGATTCGAGATTTTTTTTTATAATCACCGCGCGCACGGTTCACCGGAAAGCTCATGGTCATTTTTCCGTTAGGCTGAGTCATTGAGCGTTTCTAGGATGACTTTTCAAGGATGACATGTGATAATCTTGAAAGCGGGAATCCTGAAAACTCGAGCTAGAATCCCGATAGATCTCCCCGATAAATTTGGATGAAATATAATTTCCATGACATACGACTTTTACAAAGAAAATCTAAATTTGTCTAAATTTTCATGAAGCACGTGTAGGGCACGTGCTCTTAACGAAACATGAAATCTGATATTTATAAAATTTTGTTTCATATAAAATACATAAATTTTATTGTATGTAAAATTTTACAACGAAATATAATGTTGAATATATCGCAGTAATATGCCACGGAGAGAGAACTGATGAGTACTCCCTAGACGCCAAAGCAATTAGTTTGCACTCGCGGATAAGACGCGATAATGTATGATAACGCAATTTACAAGTCTCCACAATGCAACTACAATGCAAAACACACACGGTAGTAGTGCAGAAATACGCTACTTGAGCAGTTTCCATCTGTTTCCATACTATACGTGCCACATGCATGCCCGTGACTATCTATATCAAAGCAATCCCTTGACTTGTAGCATCTCGGAACAACGCAAAGGACGCAAAGGAGTCTCACATCTATGCTTCTAGATATACAAAAGTATCGTACTTACCACAGTACTCCTCTCTTGATCTAATGCTGTAACAGCAATCCTAACCGCACTTTCCTCAAATATCACGACGCAGTTTATAATGAATCGAGATCCATCGATGAGTAGAAAAAAAAGTCAGCCGGAGCGGCTGCCGAATAAGCATTCAGATGGCAGACGGGGATCAGCAATCCTAACATCTGGAACGAGAGAGAAAGAGAGAGAGAGAGAGAGAGAGGGAGAGGGAGAAAGATAGAGATAAAGTAGACGAGTAATTCAAAAAGAGATGGCTCTGACACTTTAGCGGAGGACCAAGAGGAAAGAAAGAGGAATCTTCGACGAGCGGAGAGGGGAGGGGGGAGGTACGTATGTAAGCTCAATGGTTGTGTCAATGTGTCAGAGAGACGATCCCTCGTGGCCGTGAGGTTACCTTTTATGTCCACGTAACGCGACTGGCCCCTGGCGGGATCTCGTAGAGGGGCATCGGCCCCCGCGAGGGGGAAACGAGGTGGCATCGGGCCCCGTTTAAACGAGTATTATCAGCGCGCGGGTTGGATGCGTGAGCGCCAGCGGAATATCAAGGAGTTTCTTTCCGGAGGTGACATTGGCGTAAGAAAGATTGAATGGAAGGTCCCTGTCGTTGACAAAGGGCCTTGAAAAGGACAGAAAATCATATTATTTGAGCGAGTTCTGAATGAAAGAGTTCGGCCTCTTTTGCTAAAGCCTAAGTTTTTTTCTATCGCCGGAACGACGTTGCTACTGGCAGATGGGTGATTAAAGAGGTATCTGGAAATTGTATCTTTTTTTTTTGTTTCGTAATTTCGAGCGGGAGTTCCCATTACTGATGTAATCGCGCAAGTCAGACTGATGTTTTTCAGAAACTTCCCTGAAGATTGGAAAATCTTAATTTTGCGTAAACTGAGAATCCTGTAGAGTTCTGTATGTTCTATAACAAGAGATTATCGTATATGGTAAAACACATTTCGAGTGGGCTATCGGTCGTTCTTTTGCATGTAGAATCATGATAATAAGTGTAATTATACGTACATGATATCTTCACGCTTGTACAGACCGTGGACCATTATTCACATATGCTGTCGAATTATAATGGATGGATTTTTCGTCTTTGATTATATCATTGTTATCATGTTTGATTGAAAGTTGACGCTGACTTGTCATCCATGATCAGCAATCGTTAAAAATATGCATTAAGACATTAATCTTTCTGTATAAAAGAAGTTGACGATAACGCGCTTACTTCCTTATTCCGAGGATTTCGTAGAGATATTATATCTTACATATACTATAGCTTATATCACAAAAATATCTTTTTTTTCTTCATAGAAGAAAACGATAATTTTTAAATTAAATAAAATTATATAATTTTTTTCTCATAATTAATGAAGAGAAAGAAAATGTTAATTATCTCATTGACTTTGCATTATTTGTTCTATGCGTGCTTGACCTTTTCTCAAGTTATAAGAAATATAGTAGAAATGTAATTAATATTAACTTTTTATTTAATAAACATTAAAAAAAAAATTTAACTCTTGATCAAATCTTTTGAGATATCGAAAGATACATTTTTTATGATAAAAAATGGTAAAAGGGACGTTTCTCTTTGCCGCCGTTTCGTGGAAGCGTTTGATTTTGTCTCCATGAATTATCGAACGGGATTCCAGAACGAATCCTTACGCGCGGAGAATATCTTCTTTTTATCCTGGTCTCGGACATAGAGAGCGATTTTGTGCCGATTCGCTTCTGGTTGATCGTCCTCCGGCGCAAATTCCATCGACAAGCCGCGGCATTCCGACGATTTCGCACCGGCCGTAGAACAGTTTCCATTATTGGGATCTGTTCCAGGAGCGGTCGACGCTGAAATCGGAAACGCCGAAGAATCCATACAATCGAATGTTCCGTCTCATTCCTCCCGTATAGATAGAACTCGTTCGATCCTCCATTTTTGGTACCATTTGTTTTAACGTTTCCGAAGCGAAACCGAACGACCACAATACGGCTTTAACCAATTAATTGAACTATTCAATAATCCATGTCTTGTTGCTCGTAATATATTACTCGTAATATATTGCTCGTAATATCGCATTGTAATACAGAATTGTCATATAGAATAAAGAATAGAAAAAAGGATAATAATCGATACCTGATCCATTTTGAAAAATTCTCAAAGAAATTTTTTTAAGAATTTTAAATTAATTTATGAAAAGCTATATTAAATTATAATATATAATATACGATTCCTAGTGATAACAGAAACTTGTTTTTTTTTTCACCAAAGTATTACATAAAGAATAAATTTATATCCCAGGAAGGAAGTAGATTGGGGCGAGTTATTTATTATAATACTTATGCTACATATTTTGTATCGTTAGTTTTTCGGCATGCGAATATTTTTAACACCTTTCCATCATACTCCGTTACGTATTACGAGTACATTAATTTAAACGTTTATGAATAATACATACTTCGTTCTTCTCGACTGCAGTCACGCCAATTGCACTTTTCTGCCGGTTGCATTTTACCGCCGCGGAAACCGCTCTGAAACTGCATTGCTTATCGGAATTTGTTCCAAGAGCTTTCTACGATCTGCACGGAACAAACATCTCCGCGGTACCGTTTTATTCCGCGACGGTTTCTTTCGCGAGATTGCCAGAGTGTTTCTCGCGAAACGGCGTCGTGCGGCTACTGGAAATCGCTCTGCAAATACCAGTACGTGTTTTGTGTGCTCATCCGAAAGCACTCGGCGCCCGCCCCCGATGCATCGCTCGCAAATGGAAACCGTCGCAAAAAGCACCGGAATCCACCATCGACCGTCAATATTTTCTCAGGTGTATCTGTCGAAAAAAAATATATACGGAGGTAGTTTATTTAACGATTAATTGGCACGATTAATCGGTATCGGACTTTCGCCGATACCGTTTCGCGAACTCTGCGACCCGCACTCGATATTTTAGAATATATGTTTATTATTAAGCCGGATAAATTATTGCAAAATGAATCGAAAAATGGAACGCTTTATGTCCATGTGTTCAATCTGATTGCTGAATTATTCGTACTGCTATTAAATATTTAAGTGATCGAATCTATTCAATTTTCAAATATACGATCAAATATACTTATCGCAAAGAGATAACGGAAAATTGGCATATAGACTGCTAAAGATGTGTAAGATAATCCGGTTTTTAAAAGCTTCGATATAACACTTAACATTTACAGTTACTACTGCAATCAGTTACAAATGATGAAAATTAAAGAAAACTTCGGACACGCTATATGCATAATGTGTACAATATTCTTCTTTTCATATACAGACGATATTATTAAAAAAATTATTGCAGCATTAACAGCAGGATTATCATAAATAATTGAATGTGCATATTTTAATGGTCTGTACGCATAACTTTTATGATAATAATATATTATTCAATTTAGATGATTCATATTCCTCCGATATTTTCTCGATATTAAAAATAAAGCGTTCCTTTTTACGGATGTGAAAAATTCATTAGAGTTACTTGGCCGCGAGAGATCGATATTTTCCTCGGTACGGAAATATTATTGCGGTCAAATTAACGAACACGATTTATCTTCCGAGATTAATAATCTGGTTGATCGCACGCGATAATTTACAGCAACGCGAGCCGTTTCTCTCTAAATACCGATGCCTCTAGTTTACCGCTCCGTAAATAGAGGACGTATTTTGTGTGCTTAAGCTAAAAGTACTCGAACTTACGACGTGGAGAAAGACCAAGTGGCTCGCACCCACTAACGAAACAGACTTGATTTTACTGGATCGATTAGCGTAGATGACGGCGCGAGCACACATTGTGTAATTAATCTTGTCAAAGTGATGCCGACAGGTCCGTTTTGAACGAGCAATTTTTCTCCGAGCGATATTCGATTGCTAAAGGGATTAGAGAGTTCATTATGTCGAGAATAAGGGAATTACCGTGAACTTTCCGCGTTAATAGCGATATTTTTTTTTTTTTATCATCGTATTGAATTTCACGCGAGCGAAATTGAGACAAATAAAAATCGGTTTTCTCCGATGTTTTGTTACGAAATACATTTTCATCGGGTTTTACTTTCAGATGCTTGTTAGTATTTTATGGAATTTCTGCGTGATTCAGAAAAACGAGAGGATCCGTTTGATGATTAATATGTTGCCATTAGCGTTTGCGCAATATTCGCTTCTACGAATTGAAATAAAATATAACGACAAGTTCAAAGGTCTGTCGAAGAAGTCGCGATTAATAATGCCGACGCGCATAATTTTCTGGGAATAATTGACGTGGGGAAGCAATTATTGTCCGTAACGTGCATCACGGTAAACAAATGTGGCAATCTATGGATTAAATGACATCAATCGAGTTCGATAATCTTGCCACATGTATAGTATATAACCATTACACTATAATTTTCCTGATGGAAAATTATCATTAACTCTTGGAATACAATCGATACGTGAATATAATTGTTTCCTCTAATAATTAATTTTTATTTCTATCTTGAGAATAATAGCAGCTGTTAATTTTACATTAATATTCAGGACAATCTTCATTGAAAAGTTAAAATCAACACTTTAATTAACACAGAAAAAACAATTTTGCTAAAATATTTAAAAATTTGAACAGATATAGAACTGAAAATAATTTTTTGAAACATCAAAATATTTAAATATTGTAGCACATTCAAATTGGTTGCTAGAATATCACAAGTGCATTTAATTATCGCGTTTAAGTATCCTGCATAATTATTTTTATGACCCAATAAGATTATTTATTTTCAGATCTGTATTTGGCCAAATTTTTAAACTTCAACAAAAGACTTTTACTTCAGCAAAATTGTTTTTCTCTATATACACAGTTTATAGCAAAAATTAAGCATTAAGCATTATTAGATTTATTAGGAAATATATCATCAAATAATTATTAATGTACATATTAGACATATATTTAAAAAATTTTTTTTATCCGAGATGCTCTGATTTATGCAACGCGAAAAATTATTCATCGCGTCAAACTGCGGACGTACACGTCGCAGATGTTAATTTCGTTCGTTAATTAATCGCACTTTGATGTTTCGCGCGGAATTATTCTGAATTTTCTGATTTCTTATATCCGACGTCACACGACGTCACGAGACGAGGATGACGAGTTTGGACGGGTTTATTTCGCTTGCTCGCGAATTCGAAACGCACGAAGAGCCGCCTGCGTTCCGGGGAAACATTTATTTTCACGAATTATACAACGGAAATAAACTTGCGGCGGACGGAAAGGTATGCGAGAGCTTGCGAAAGAGGTTTCCTCGAAGAACCGGAATAAGCCTATGAAGTGCATATTCGATTAGTCAGCTCGTGTGTGTATGTGTGTGTGTGTGTGTGTGTGTGTGTGTGTGTGTGTGTGTGTGTGTGTGTGTGTGTGTGTGTGTGTGTGTGTGTGTGTGTGTGTGTGTGTGTCCGTCGATGGCGCTCGTCCAATTCTCGGCGATAATTTCTCCCATGCCCGTCGTGCGGATTGCGCGATGGAATTCCTGATTTTCGAACGTGCGGGATAACTTATTGTAACTTTATTATAGGATTTTCCCGAACTACGACCGCGCTCCACTTTCGACCGTAACGATCCGCGCGGAAACTCTCCGACGCGAGGAGATCGCACGGTGCTTATTCTCGTCATTCCGGAATTGGCGGATACTATATCGAGAAGCGTGGTGGAATACCAATTTCGGATTTGACCCGATCGTGACATGCCGATAGTACGTCGAGCTATTGTAACAATTCGTAATAATTGATGCGGTCAAATCGGAGACTGATCGAGCCACTTTCATCAAATTTGTGCAAGGCGATATATCTCGATTAATTATTTCTGAATTTGTATTTTGGTAAAGACAGTTCAAGAGATAGTTTCGCTCGTCGTGATTTCTCTCTTCTGCATTATTATCACGAAATTCACAATTAATTATTTCACTCTTATATAACTCTGGATAACTCTTCGATTCTACTAACTGCCGCATCGCTTTGTGAAATCGTATTCTATTATAGATATTTTACATTTTACATCTTGTTTCGCGTATCTTGTATCGTGTAGCATTTTCCGCGAATCGACATTACTCCTTTTCTTTCGAGAATTGATTCGTAAAATGACAGGTACTAACCGAGCGACGTCCGACAACGACGACGACGATTTACGACGCACGTTGGAGTGCTCGGTACAAATTGGTCTGACGCAAATGAAGTTCCTGGTCGCAATTTCTCTCCTTTTGTTCCGACTCGGCCATGCGCGGACAATC